GCGGTACCGGGGCCTCGCGCGCTGGGCACGTTACACCCCAAACGTGCATGGAAACACCAGGAAATCGAGGACTGATCGGCTGCAGCAGAAAGCTTGGAAGGGGCCCTGCATGAAATGGGGCTCAGCTCGGATAACTTGCTAAAGGAAAACACAGCCCTTAGCTCTCGTTGCGATGTTTGGAATCCTTACTGTCCATGCTGATACTTCATCTTGACTGCTGTGACTGCAGCAAAGGCCTCATTTTTGTGTGTGAGGGTTTATTAATGGGGCACTACAATTAAAAGGGTTTTGAGGACCAGAGCTAGCAAATGGACACTGCTATTCCATAAGCTTTTGATTACCAGGAAGTTCAGAGATTTACTGGTGTCACACGAGGAGAAAGTAATTCTGACAACCCTTCTTTTAAAATTCTCTCCCTCTTGGTATCCAGGACCAAAGCAGAGACCTAATTTTGCTGCTATGCAGCTATGCTGTGCATAAAACTGCACCTCTCTGATTTTTTTTTATTCCTTTCCAGCTGTAGAAGAGCAAGCAGAGCTGCTGAAAACCAGCCTGTTTCGGCTCGCTTGCTTTAATGGGGACTTCTCCATCCCTTTAGTATTTTTATGAAGGATTGTGTGGGCTTGAAAGCTGTTTGATCCTAAAAACTGGCAAGCGCTATAAAAAGCAACGTAAGCGCCTACCTCGTGGCCGCCCGCTCTCCGCGAGCGGAGCAGCTTTGCTCTGATGTGCAGAGATCCTCGGGCAAAGGCTTTTGCTACCGGGAATAGCAGCAGCTCCTGCTCGGTGTGTGGAGCTGCTGAGTGCGGAATCCTGCGCGGTTCCCGGGATTTGAGCCCGGGGGTGCAGGCCTTGCGCTGCCTCCTGCTGCTTGCACACGCGGCCCTGCTTTGTGCTGCTGGTCATGGTCTCCTCGCCCACCAGGTTCTTCTGTGCTGAGCTGGTTTCCAGCCTGTGCCAGGGCCAGGGTTGTTCCTCTCTGGTGCAGGACTTGGCACTTCTCTTCTGGATTAATGAGCAGTCTTGACAGGGTGGAGAAACGGGCCCACAGGAACCTTATGTATCTCAAAGATGTTAAACACGAGGGCCCCGGAATGGTTCCCTGCAGGGGCAAACTGCCAGTGACCAGCTGGGCTTTGTGCTGCTGGCCCCAGCCCTCTGAGCCTTTCCAGTCCACCCCACTGGAGGTTCCTCTGGTCTGTAGCTCATGAGCTTGGCCATGAGCAAGCCAGACTCTGACCTTCCTGAAGCTTCATGCAGGGATCTCTAAAGAGCAAAGCAGGGCCTCAGCCTGATGCTAAGCAGGTAGGAATAGGCAATTTCTGCCTCTGCTTAGAGTGTGTGTAACCTCAGTGCTCGTAACGGCGCACTAGGTATGTCCTGCAACGTGCTTGCTTGAATCCATCGTTTCCAAGTCTCATGGGGTTCCTTGGGCTGGCTGCTATGTGGGGAATACAGAGGTTCTCTGAGGAAAAATAATTCTGTAGTTTTGGTTATTAAATGGAAATGTCTGCCTGCGTCCTGGTACTTCCACACCATTAACGTGTTGCACAAGAGTTTATTTTGCAGTACTATGGATTTTGCGCACATGGTTATAGATGGTAATCTGCATTTTTACCCTTTGCTCCAAATGTGCTTCAGGTCTTGCAAAGTTTCTTTCAGGCTGCACTGCAAAGTGTGGTGTGGATAGCTGCACGTTCTCAATAATCCCAGGGTTTAAACATCAATTCCAGATAGAAGGGGCGTATGGCAGGCCACGGTGCTGAAATGATTAAAGTTTTGTAGTGTTTTTTCTTTATGGTGGGAAGCATATGGTGGGAATGGTGCAGGTTGTGAACCTCTCAGTGCCCCCCGGGGTTCACATTGCCAAATGTGGGTGTAGGACCTTGTGGATGGCCTCCTCCAGGAGCTGGGGGGGTATTGGAGGGCAGCATGGGCTGCAGAGCCTCCTTGAGGCTACCCAGGGAGCTGAGAGCTTGAGAAAGCAGGTGGGAGGAGATCTTCCCCGTCCTCTCCTTCCCTGCAATGGGAGCAGAAACCACAGGAAGGAAAGAGGCTGCATCTGGCAACAGGTTCCATGTCCAGCAAGGGGACGGAGCGAGAATCTGCTTTGATACAGTTAAGCTAATTCTGTGGCTGCTAAAAGAGGGCTCCAACTTCTTCCTCCTTTGCCTTCCTTATATTTAGAGCAGCAACTCATCTGACCTCTTGGCAGCTCAGTAAAGTGATAATAACCACTAGGAATTTAGGTACCTCTTTCCTCCGTCCAGTCTTCTGTCTGATGGTTAATGGACCTGAGCTGGGCAAGTGGGGAAACACAGGAAGCAGCATGGATGGCTCCACATTTACCTGCATCCTCCTACTGCTAATTCCACTGATGCCGACTTGGGAAAAGTGCTTTCCCTGTGACCCCCACCGCCTGTGCACAGGGGGTTAAGATAATACCTTTTCCCAAGCATTCCTAGTTCTGCAGCAACTAGGAGGATGTGGATGGGTGGCTTCAGTGAGGTCTTTACCTGCTTCCAATTTTCCTCTCCCCAAACCAATCACCTGGCCAGTGCTCTTGAATTCCTCTCGGCCGCTACCGGGTCAGCCACGCTGCTGCCTCGGGCTCCTCGCGGCCTTGGAAGCACCGCAGCAGCAGGAGGCCCCGCGGTGCCCAGGGAGGCCCTGGCTGCAGGAGGCCCTGCGGTGCCCGCACGATGCGGGGAAGGAAGGCGCTCGGTGCAGGAGGCCCTGCGGTGCCCGCACGATGCGGGGAAGGAAGGCGCTCGGTGCAGGAGGCCCTGCGGTGCCCGCACGATGCGGGGAAGGAAGGCGCTCGGTGCAGGAGGCCCTGCGGTGCCCGCACGATGCGGGGAAGGAAGGCGCTCGGTGCAGGAGGCCCCGCGGCGCCCGCTCCGAGCGCGGCCGTGGCCAAGGGGGGCTGTTCTGGGCGCTGCTCCCCTGCAGGGGTTTGCGGGCTGGCACTGCCGGCGTTTTCATAAACACCTCGTAGGCTTTTATGCAGACGCCTTCGTGTCATCTGCTGCAAAGTGTAACCTGGGAGCTGCCTAACAGCGTAGTTCCCGAGACCAGAAAAAGGGTGTTCTGCTACTTGTAGATAAGGTAACTCATGAGCCAGCTCTGTCTTTGCAGAGCAAGGTGCAGATTAATCCTTTTCAGCAAGGAAGCCCTGTCCTACTCACAATTTATCTAAACTGTCTCCTAGATGCAGCGTTTCCAGTGCAATTTGATGTTGTTGCGGCATGTTCCCTGCTAATGCTATGGTCAAAACTACTGAAGAACTTGGAGAAAGCAGCAAAATATTATCTTGCCCTCCTAAAACAATGGAATGAGATTCAAGTCTCACTTTTTAATTCTGGTCCACATTGGCCTTAGGTTACTGGTTTACAAGTATGATGAAGAAAGATAAATCTTCCCTGCAAGTACCTTTACCATGAGTCACTCCAGTTGAAAAATGCTGCTGGCCTCTGTTAAATTCATTCTCATGCCTGAGAATCTCATTTTCTACTTTTTTTATTTTTACCTTTCCAGGCTATGGAATTTTCTGAGACAGTAAGAAAAGAAATGCAAGTGGGTTTGAAATAGTGCTGGGTGATATGAGAAAAACAGAGATCTGCTGAGGACCTCTCCTGAACTTCAGCCCGTCCTTCACCTGCCGGAGGTAGGGGGATCTGTCCTGCTCTTCGGTGCAAGAACTTCAGATTATAAAACACTGCGGCTTCACGCCGGTCTCATTGGGAAAACAGCTGAGCAGTATCCAAGCGAACTGGGTCCTGGTCTGACCCTAGAAATGTAGGTCAGTGCAAGAAACTGCCATTGAAATATCATCACCTAAAAAAATAATCACAGGAATTTCAGTAGAAAGTGTACAATGGGGCAGATATTAGTGAAAATCACTATGTAAGTGATAAAGAAAAATTGCTCTTCCAACTGAACAGCTTTCAAAGCTGCCTTTTCTATGTACATTCTGGGGGACTTTGGAACAAACACTCAGCAACTTACAGAGCTGGGTTATGTGTTTAAAGAAAAATGCGAACTCTGGAGAAGGCCCCTGAAGTTTGGTACCCATCAATGTTTATTCCTGGTGGCGGCTTTGCTGTTGGAGACGCGTTCTGCAGACACACACTGCCATCTAGTGAGCCCCTGCAGCAGAGGGAGAGGACACCGGGCTGCTCGGAGCGGTTCGCGCAGCGCAGGACGCATCACGGGCTGCGAAACGCTGCAACTGCATCACGTGCAACAGAGATACGCGGAGCAAAGCGAAAGTATTTTATTAATAATTTATTGTCAGTAAGAAAGACTGGCTAATGGTAGTTTTCAGTAAAAACCTTTACAAGACCATTGGATCACAAATATACAGACACTATAAAAACTGTGTCATGGTGGTTTTGGTTCTAAACTGGTATGCAGAGGGTCCCCAACACACTTTCCAAGAAGGGAAAAAATGTTTACAGTTCTAAAATACAGCAACCCATTTAAGACATTTCCATATAGCTGACCCAGAAAAATATCAGACCTACCCTATGTACAATTGGAATTGTGTAAATATTTTGATTTTTCTTTCATAATGAAATGTCCAACCTTAGTTTTGGAGGAGGAGGAGGAATACATACAGTGATGCCCTGATTATAGTAAGTCAGGGTGCTAGTTTGTAATGGCACACTAACACCACTAATTTCAGTGGAAAACAAATTCACAAAATATCTACAAAATCTAGTTAAAACTATTAAAATCAAACTGTACATAACATTTACAAAAAGTAGGAGAAAATTATATTTGCATTAGAACTATATAAATATATGCATCATGCTAACATGGAGAAGGTGTATGTGTTTCTTTTAACATAGACAATGTAAGTACAAAAAACATGATGAGGAATGGCACAGCCAACGGAAATCTTGGTGCTCTCCAATTACAGTAGGTCAGGACCTGGAAACAGGCTGATTTAGTGAAATGAGCTGCATGACCCAGTGCAGCCAGGCCAGTTTAGCAATCACTGTGGCTGGGGAAAAAAAAATTAAAAGAAGAAAAGAAAATAAAAAAAGCTCTTGAAGGTGGTTCTAGCATTGACAGAGTTTGTTAAAGTCCAGGCACTTTTGTTGAGCGTGTCAGACTTCTGTGTGTTGCTGGGAATCGAGTGGCGGAATTTTCACGTCTTCGAAGTGGCCGTCGTCGCCGCTCTCGTAGTCGCTCATCATGACTTCGGACTCCACCTCGCAGCAGGCGGACACGTCGGAGCAGGACGCCGTGGAGGCGTACACGGACACGGACAGGCTGTCTGCGGCGGGCGCCTCCAAGTCTCTGCCGAAGCCCAGCGCGAAGGGAGCGTACGGGTCTCGGTAAGCGCCGCCGCCGCCGGCCGCGGTCTGGGGCTCTGACATGTCTGCGGGGTAGTGGTGGGGGAGGTACTGGTTCAGGTTGAATCTCTGCCTGCTTCTCGTGGAGGAGCCCAGGCTGCCTGCGGCTGGCATGTCTCTGGGTGGCTGTATGGACTCAAACTGGTCGCTGTATTCGGGCGGCAGCGGTGGGAGCTCGTCGGGCGCGGGGAAGTCGTCGGGTGGCGGTGGGAAATCGCTCTCTATGTCGTAACCGCCAGGGTAATAGTCTGTGTCGATGGCGTTGGGATCGGTGTAGAGGGGAGCTGCCTCCTCAACCACTTCGTAATTTGGATACTCTTGGATACCTGGCAATTGGACACTTGGCATCCAGTCTGATGTATCCCAGTGATAACCTGAAAGTGATTTTTTTTTAAAGAGAAGTAGTGTTAGTAGCTTGTCCTCTCATCAGTCTGAACTAAGAAGTCAACACATGTTTAAAGACAAAGCAATCACCCGTGATTAGGACATGACTTGTTAATTAGGGAGCAATTTGCCCCGGTTCCACAGAAGACATTGGACACAACACAACTGTACGTTATGCCATGCATTAGGTACTGCCTCATTCACACTGCAATTTTTACGTTTTTTTGAGACATCTCACCTAACACGGGAGGACCTGTAGGTCACCTATGGCATGAGCTACCACAATACATAACGGTACAGAATTGTTCACTGGGCAACAAGTATCAGCTTCCCTGGTGCAGCTAAACCCTTACACTCAGTTACTGAGTAATTACCATTAGGATAACACCAGCTGCCTCTTCTTAAGAATACACTAAACCTTACTTCTCCTGCTCAAAAGAAGCAGGGTCTAATCTGTCAGCTGTCTACAATATTTAAGCTGACTTCACCGCTTAGCTAACGGGTGACATGAACTTCACAAACTGCTGTTAGCTCTGCCGTAGTGGCATCTCACAATGCTTCCGTACCCAGACCACCTCCTTGGATTTATTAGTAGAGACATTCCACATTCAAATACAACAAAACAGCAAAGTGGAGCGTAATCATGCATAAATGATAGAAGCTGCTTGTCTTTTACAAACTTCCCTTGAATAAGTCCTTATTGCTCTATTGGATACTGAATGTAAGCCTAAGCTTCTCAAAAACAAGTTGGTTTTATTTGCTAAAAGGAAAATACAGGCGTGGCATAAATAGTAAAGCATAATCACTGCAGACAAATGCACAGCAAACGATTTGTAGCAAGTCTGTGTTAAAACTAAGTATTAGCAGAAATATTTTGGTGAATATCAATGAACTGCATGCAGAAGTCACCTCTTGAATTGCTGAGGTCAGGAACAGCAAAAGATTCTTTAGGTGGCAGAATGACAAGAAAAAAGGAGAAAACATTTGTAGTTAGGAATCAAACAGGAGAACCACGGTCAAGACAAACATAATGTCCCTGACACGTGCTGCTTCGGGCTGGCTTTGGCAGACTGGGGCCTCGCTCTGCTCCTTGGCAGCACTCAGGGTGCTGGTCTTTTCTCCTGGGCTCCCATTTTGTTAGGCTTGAACTGGAGCAGGGAGAGCGACCCAGCTACCTGTGGGCTGGCAAAACCTCCAGTCCGTAGATGGCTCCAATCCAGTGAGTTCCAGGACCTCTGTTAACAGAGAAGCCTGGGTCTGGTCTCCCTTTGCCTGCAGCCCTTGTTTCCCGGGGCAGGCTGAGTCTAGCAGGGTTTCTGGCCTCGCTTAGGAGCCCCAGCTGCTGCAGTAGAGCAGCCCCAGCAAGCCCAGCTCAGCAGAGAACCATCCTCTTTACCTGATCAGCCTTACACCTTTCCTGTTCCCTTCCAGGGGTTTATGGAGACAGGCTCATCCTAATCCCAGCATCTGCTCCTAAGACTAGATGCCTTTATCTATTTTCAGAAGAGGGCAGGGTCAGAGGGTGACTCTAGCCTTTTTTTTTTTCCTACCCTTTTTCTTCTGCTTACCTAGCCAAGCAATAGAAAATTCTGCCCATACTAATGGCAATATCAATCCTTTATTCTCCATGACTTGAGATTGTTAAAACATCCCTAGTCTCACCTCCAGGGGAGTTTCCTAACCACAGCCCTGCTTAGAAAGCGGAATCATTCATTGTTCTGGGGCAGCTGGGCAGCAAAAAGCAGAAGTAATGGGCAGGCTGTGGCCTGGCTGTTCACAGGGGAGATGTTGGCGGGTCCCCGCTCCGAGCCCGGAGCGCCCAGCGAAACGCCCAGCAGCAGAGGCCGCAGCCCGGCCCTGTGCGCGCGCTCGGCCGGGCCCCGGCGCAGAAACTTCTGGGTGTTGAGCAGCAACTCGGCAGTACATCCTTAGTGTCTGTGTCCTTTATGAGTAGTTTGAAATGGATAAAGGAGTTGTATGTATTTATCTTACAGAGATTCTAAAGCACTGAGCCACGCTTTTAATTTTGCCTTAAGAACTACATCAGTTGGTTGTAGCCCTATCAGTTAAACTGCATAAGTTACTGGATATTTCTCCAGATCTTTTAATTTTGTCTTTTTAAGTACTGTGCATTATGGTTTTCTGGCAGCAAAGACTATGGGCTGCAGATATATATATATGTATATATATATAAATAAAATATTTTCATGTAATCAGAAGTCTTTGCATTTGTCTACCCCTAAGTCTGTGAACATTATACAGGATGTATTTCAAATTGCAAACCAAATAGAATCCACAGCTACTATAAACGCTTCTATGCTCTTAAGGCAACTTTGTTTTTAAGTAGGACTTAATTTTAACAAAGTGAGTTTTCCTCCTCTTAGTTAAGAAATACTCACACAAGCTCCCCAGGCCATGCTTTTTTGTATTTTCGGAATAGTTGTGTTCTCTTTATGCACGTATACTCTTTATGCATTTTTAAAATTTTAAAATTTTAAATCACACTTTGAAACCTGCCTACGGGGTAGGCACAGAGCACACAAAATATGAATATACATGCAGATTAAATATATTATTTACTAAAATTTATCAGAAAGTCTACATAAATAACTTTATATCTCCCACCTACTATGACTACATTACTAGAAGACAAATGTTCATTATTCTGCCAAAGCAGTAAATAAAGATGAAAACTTGTAGATACCTTCTTTTTCCACCGAGTCAACAACAGCATTGACAAGGTGTATTACAGTCACTATGGAAGCTTGTAAAAAGTATAAAAGGAGCAAGTTAAAAAAACTTATAGTTAGTATCACTTTAAACAGCATATATATAAGCATACAAAAATATTGTAGATTGCAGTTCAGTGCTATTTTACAAAGCAAGATTATCTGTGTATAAATACAGGTACTCCCTATCTAGAAAGCAATCGCATAAAATAAGTAGAATGCATCTAAACCTGACTTCATGGTAAAACTGCAAGACAGTTATGATCACCGCTCCTGAAGCCAATTAAGCACAAGCAGAGCAGTGTTTTGGTTTAGGGGAATTTCTGGAATGTCGCCTGCACGTGCCGCCTGCCGCTGCTGCATGTTGGCAGCAGTGACTCCCTTCTGCTAAAGGCCGGGGTGAGCTGCGGAGCACTGCAAGGCTTCCCCCTGCTGCAAGATACTGCTTTGTTATCAGTGGAAAACCAGGGGAAGAAACTTTCACCAAAGCACAACTAAAATACTAGAATATGAAAAATATACACTAAAAATTTCTGAAAATTTTACTGGCCTACTTAAGTTATGAATGATAGCACACTAAATTGAGGTTGCAGCATTATTATTTTAAAACAACCCAAATGAATGTACTTTCTGTACTTCCTAACATACTTGAGGAAGGGAGAAGGATTTACTTTTATAGGATGAGGTAAGCACAAGCAGTTTGCATGGTTTAAGGGGTCAAATTTTAAATCAAAAGCTTCAGAGTCTACCAAAACACGGGATGGAAAGAAGAAAGGAACAGTTTCTGATGCTACAGTTGTTTTCTAGAATGTTGTATTACGGAACCATCTACAGCAACAGATAAATATCATCTACTCTGTTGCAGGAGCGGTGATGAGAAAGGCAGGCAGGGAAGGCAGTGCCTCAGGGAGGAACTTCCACTGAAGCCGCTGGAAAGCACTGGAAAGCCATGCGTGCCATAAGGGTAGAACCCAATTTTGGGGCTGTCAGCCTCCCAGTCCCGTCACTGATGTCTCTTATTAATTTGAAGTAGTGCTTTTGTATATTAACTTTTGTATCTGTTTTTCTGCATCACCTCTCCCTGCTTTATGATCAGTACATGACAAGAAATAAGAATAAGGATATATGAAATATATGAGGTGAAGAGGAGAACATGTACTGCACAACACTTAGTACCACAGGAAAATAAAAGCTGAGAGTTGACATCAAGTCTATTGATAAAATGACAAGAATTGTAAGCAACCATTTTACTTTCACCAATCATTAACACAGGCATTTCTTTTCATGCTATTAAAGAACGAACCACTGTACTTTGCGAGAAGCAGAACGTTCTTTATTCCTAAACTACAGGAACTTGAAATCCTTTTTACCATACGCAGGCAAAAGTAGGAATTGGAATAGTGTCAAAGCACCTTAACTTAGTGAATTAAATTGCAAGGCAACTGTAGCTCTGTCCAATCAGTCTTAATATCTGAAAAGTTTCTGAATCAAATAGATGCATATCAACCATAAAAGCATCTGTCATCACAATGGAAAAATGAAAATCTTCCAATTTTTAAAAAGAATCAGGTAAATAAGTATGCTGAATGGATTTTGATGGATCAGGGTCATCATTAAAATGTTTATATTCCTATTTTTATATTGGGTTTTTTTGCAGTGTATGAAATGCTAAATGAATTCATCTTAATCATGGTGAAAGCCAAATATACTGTTCTACTAAAATAAAATTCCTTTTTGTGCAACTTCCTTCATTACTCAAGTAATCAAACTTACAAGCAGTCCCTTAAACTCTGCTCTCACTCAGAACTGATCTGATCCATATGGGAGCTGAGGTCGCAGCAAGGGAGAAAGAAAAGGAAACAAATGAAACCGTAACACCAGAAAGCTCTACTGACAGCTGAAGGTCAAAACTAAAATCATCTTTGTGCACAGGCTATTTATTTTAAATTCACTGTATTCTTTCGTAAGTTCATAACTGTTGATAACTTACAAGAACATCCCAACTCTGAAAATACTTTTACGCAACTACACACACTTTGTGATGCACTTTCATTGTTAATATTCTAAGAGAAAAGTGAAAATATAAAATTGCAAGGTAGAGCAATTAACTTGAGGTAGAAGGTAGATAAAATACTTAAGAATGTCATAGATTTTGGTACTACGTAAGTAAATGCATATATATATATATTAAATAAGCTATTGGTAATATATTTATATTGATAGAGGTAATACATCAATATAAATATATTAATAATACATTATTTAATACATGCGTGATTTATGTAACACCTGTTGATATTAATGAGGCATATACAGATGCAGATACAGCCCATCCGAGTGCAAGCAGCAGCACGGAGGAGCTCTGCTTCACCTACCGTTGTCATCGCACGATTCGGACTGGAAGGAGCTGAGGGACTGCACCTCGGACAGGCTCTCTCGAGCGCTGTAGGGATGAGAGCTCTTCTCGTCCAGAGGCTTTTTGGAAAGGCAGGGATCAAGATCTACCACTTTAGCTGAAAGAAGGAAAACAAAAAAATTGATCAATTCTCGGTTTAAGAGCCAGGAAGCCCTAAAGTCTACATGTTCTGACAAAATTTTCTGAGCATGAGGCCTGATCAGACTCAAAAACCTGTTAACCCCCTAAGGTCTTTTCTAATCTAATAGACAGACTGTGAACTCAGGGTGGAATTATCTCACATGTATACACTGTTAACAGGGAGAAAACAACACAGAAACATTTCTTACTGTCATAGTCGAAATCCCAGCTGGGTTTCTGTATGGAATCGCTGTCAGAAGGAGAGTTGGAGGGGGGTGGAGGTGGCAGGTTTGGTGCCACACTGCAAACAGCTACAGCTTTTCGGTGCCCATGCACAGAATCTGGGTTAAAAGTACTAAACTCTGGGTGCTCGGGGATGGCAGAGCCCTCAAAGGAATTCCTGTCAAGATTGTTCCTGGAGTCACTTGGGATGCTCGGAGTGTAGGAAATGGGACGGACAGGAACTTGTGGCGGGATGTCAGAATAAATGTTCTTGTTCAGTTTTGAATCAAAATAAGGTCTTTGCAAGAAAGCTGTTGTAGCTCCCAGTTGCTTGTCTTCAGGCTCTGGCTGATGTTTCTTCTTTCTGCTAATCACTTTGCGGCAAATAACAAAAAGCCCAACTAACAGGAGTATTCCTGCGATGAAAACGATAATTCCAATTACTTCAGCTAAGCTGATGTTCCAGGACGTTGAAACGTATTTGTTCAGAACAATGTCTGTACAGTGTTTTCCTCCAAATCCGTGGCTGCAGTTGCAGTGATAGGAGCCATACGTGTTCTCACACAGGGCGCCGTTAAGACACGGGTTTTCTACGCACTCATCGACGTCGGCCAAACACCTACCAGAAACAGCAGGGCACGGGTGGTTAGTGTACAGCAGTAGTCACTAGTGTAGTCTCCTTGTTCTTAGCAATTCTAAATATTTGTTTTTTAATACGCTGTGCTGTACATTACCAGGCAATTTGCTATTTATCGACACTTCAGATTCCAACCAAATGTTAAATAGTAGTTAAAAATTCCCTGTCTCTGTGTACTGCTACCCACCTTTCTCCACGGAAGCCTGCTTCACACTCACAAACAGGGCCATCCAAACTGTCAATACACTTGCCACTGTTTTTACAAGGATTGTCTTTGCAATAGGGACCCAACTGACATCTGCAAAGGTTAAAAAAAAGAAAGAAAATAAATCAGTGATCCATTACTTTACTGTAAGTACGTAGTATAGGACTCAAGGCTATAATGTTCTGGCTAGCACTTAACCTCAGACAATTCCAGTAGGTACACTGGCGTTCAAAGTCTCAAAGGAGAAAACAGAGGAAAAGGATTGCAGAGGAAGAGCTGCACTTAGAGAACAGGCTCTGAGGGGCTCGTCTGTACACGAAGCAACACAAACTTACCTTTGGCCTGTGTACTGTCCCCGGCACTGGCAGATGAAATCATCACTGACGGGGATGCAAGTACCACCATAAAGGCAGGGGTTGGAAGCACATGGGTTGACACTTACATCACAGTGAGTTCCCATGAACAGAGGAGGACACTTGCAGTAGTAACCTGAAATCAAGCAAATGCTTTTGAAAGGCCGGCATGGCTTTACTAGTTAAAAACAAAACAAAAACAGAAATTAAAAACAAGGAAAGCGAACAAAATAAATCCCTGCATTTCTCCCTGTCCACCTACCCACTTAAATAGAGGGAGAATGGGTAGAAATAGATATATCTCATTAGAGGACAAAAGAAGAAAAGCTTTATGTGTGATCAAAGCATAACTTCCCTTTCTCTCACAAAGCTCAAGCTTGTCAGAATGTTTTCATAATTTTTGTAGAAAGACACTAAAGAGTCTTCAGTGAGAACATTCAAAGAATAGACTTCAAGTATTAAGACCAAAGAATTCATTTCTGTTTTATTTTATTTTCTCCTGACATGTACTGTCTGCTCCATAGCCCAAGAACTGAGCCTGGAGGGCTGGCATGCACAGTCCTGCTTAATAACCAGCCTCCACACTTTCTGGAAAAGGAAAGCTTATTCACAACATGGTTTTGTCTCTCCAGGGCAAGTAATTTGGAAAGCAGTGTGGAAAACTAACAGAATACAGCAGAGCTTACCTCCGTTTGACAGGGCATTACAGATGCCTCCGTTCTGACAGGGGCTGCTCGAGCAACCTTCGGTGGTGGTCAGCAAGCACCCAGGAGCCACATCGACAGATTCCTCCACGTGTGCGTAACTTCGTGGCTTGCTGTTCAGGGGCAGCTCTTGTCCATTGAGTACAATAGAGTCCATGCACCCTCTGAAACCATTGCTAACCTGAGGGCTTCTGCCGTGCCTTGTGCCCTGCTGCCGAATGTGGCCACCGAAAAACACGTGGTTGTCCAGGTTGAGCGTGCGCAGGGTGCCCGGCGCGGTGCCGGACGCCGTGTGCACCCTGTCCAGGACAAGCCGTGCGTAATTTCCGTCCACTTCGAGGGAAACTGAATGCCACTGGCCATCGTTAACCTGGATGCTCTGAACGGAGACGATCCCAGGCCCGCTGCCACAGTCAAATTTATACTGCAGCCTTCCATGGTGAATCTGCAGAGGAAAACATCGTCATCATCTACAACAGAAGGACCACATGCTCAGGAAAGTCTCTGTGAAAAAAAACTATACAATACTACAAAAGTTTGTCTGCCAGTGGCGCTCATAAAGAGTAGTTTACTAATATATTGCAAACACTTACAGTAATTATGATTCATTGTACACAGTCCTCGTAATTAAGATGTTGCCTGGAAGGTTTCCTCTCTAGTAGAGGAAGTCACAGACTATCAACAAAAGATTGTTGGAAGGTACTTCCAAGATGTAGCCTTCCCTTCTGTGATCTCTTTAAGCAACTAATCTCTCAGAAATTTAAAGTGTTTTTGGTATGAACTTACTGTAAAATACGAGCAGTCTGTAATTTATGCAAATATCTCTAAAGTCAGTACTTAGAATTGCTTTTTTAATTAAAGAAAACAGATTTCACACATTCAGTAGAAGTTTGCCACCTGGGTGCATAACAAACTCCTTTGAAGGCAATTTTCAGTTATAAGAGTTGTACTGAAACGGTATGATTAAATCTTTTAAATCGGCATTGAAAATAAGAAGGCTGATGGTAACAATAACACGTGAGGGGGCAGATTTTCCCGTACCTCCAGGATGCTGTAGTCTGTGCCTCGAGCATACATGACGACGGCGTGAGCGGAGTACGTCCTGAGCCGCATCGTGAGCTTCATCTCCTCCTTGTTCTCGCTTTCCAGGAGACGGTATTTCACGTAGCTGCTCCCGCTAAATGTCACAGCAGACCCAGCCGGTGCTGAAGGTAGCAGAGAAGCATGAAGATTAACATAGGGCTAGAGCCAAACTCCTCTTTGAAAAGCAGTATGGTTTTATGCAGAGAGCTTGAGAGCTAATTTCTCACCGGGACACTGTCCAGTTTTGCTGTCATGGCAAACACAGGAGTATTTTCCTTCCTTTGGATCTCCTAGACATTCAGTGCCTTCGGGGCAGGGGTTTCCTTCACACACGCTATTCACCAGAGGGCATCTCCCTTCTGTAAAATGAAATGCATTATTTCTCTTCTATTGGCAGTAATGGTGTTTTGTTGGGGGTGACACTTAAGCTAAATCCAAAAAAAAAAAAATCTTGAGTTGCATCAAACCAAATGATATTCCTAAGCATCAGACAAAAAGAAAGTGAACTGACGGTTACTGAAAACAACTAGCAAAAATCAGAGTAGAAGAATGGCAGACAGTGACTGATGGTCATAATTATCTTCAGCGCGAATATGCCTGAACAATTAAACTGGTACAAGCTGGAAACTGCTGCTGTGGTTTAAGCTTTGCCATTACTATCATTTGCCGTAGAAAAAAAATCCAAGTAAATATTAGACATGGGGAAAGAGGATCAAGGAGAGGAGGAGATGAATCTGTGTTTGACACAGAAAAGGAATTGGCTTTAAAAATTCACTTAAGATTTGATAACTCACCAATAATGTTATTTTATGATAAAAAAAACCAAGTATTTTCCTAAGAACCAAAGACCAATTATTGTATATTTCAATGAGTGTTCATTCCCCAGCTCAAGGTGTCATTCCCTGCCAAGGGTGAAAGCCACGTGCAATATTCCTCTAGGCAGAAGCCAGGAAACACTCGGGTGCTCTGCCACAGCTTTGTGCACAGAAGACTGCAAATGGCTGACAACTTTGAACAGACAACCAAAAGGAACTTCTTTCATAAAATGGAAAACGAAAGGGTAGCAACTATAAAACAATCCACTTCCGTAAACTTATATTAGGTAAGCTCTTGAAAGAGCAGCTTTTCTTTCTTAAAAGAAAACCATGAGATAAGAACTATTCCTTACTCCAAACAGAACAAGGCAAATGCTGTAGGGATGGTTACAGGACATTCTTCAATTTTGTCCCGTGACACTGATTTTCCATGGCCATGAAGACCAGGACATTCTTTTGAAGGATACTGCTTTCCTTACCTTTACAGAGACAAACTGCTGTTCTGTGATGACGTGGAGTGACAAAACTCAGCCTGGCTGTGCTGTGAGTTGACATGATGTTCTCATCCACTGTTACTTTTTCTTCACAAAATTTCAAAGGACAGTCTAGGCCTGCACAAAGCTTATGGAAAACATCAATTATCCGGACACCTAAGATCTCCTCCAGGTCGGCCACAGAGGAGTTTATCTTGTGGAGCAAAATTCTCATAGGGTGCTGAGAGCTGCCAGATTTTTCAATATTCAGGAGGACGTCAAGGTTGGAAGGAGGATCAGAAGGCTGCAAACTAACAATCTGGATGTCGTTTCTCCTCACGCCCAGGACGTTTCTTAGAGCTCGTTGGAAATTGCGCCAATAATCACCAATGAATTCTTCAGGCGCAAGGTTTGCAAAGCGGATTGCAATGCTGTGGTTTAGCAAATCCTGTGTTATTTGTCTGATATGCACAGTAATATCAGCTGAGGTTGTAAATTTTCCATCTGTAACAGTGACATTTAGGAGATATTGTCCTACATCCAATTTTTTGTGCGCTATTAGTTTGCCTCCAGTACTGGAAACAGAGAACAGGGATTCCATTTTCGGGTCCAGACTGTAGGTCAAAGTATCATAAACATCCTGATCAGTCGCATGAACTTTTCCAATGACACCACCAGAATATTCTTCCCCAAAGGCTGTAATAAAGATTTCTAGTGGTAGAATTGCTGGAGAATAAATGCTTTCCTCAATGACTCTAATGTCAACGTAAGCCAAAGATGACAACTGTGGTTTTCCATTGTCTGCCACCTGATGGAAAATGAGGATAGAGTTAAATATTTGTTTAATCCCATCAGATTCTACTGCAGATACTTGTGTTGTATGCAGTAGTCCTATGTATTTCTTCAAAAAAAAATTTATAAAAGGTCATAAATACAGATGCTGATGGAGTTAATATTAGAAATATAGAAAGCTTGTATAGGTGCACACACCCAGACAAACAAGTTTTCACTTCTTCTAAATTTTAATGGGTACAATGTTCCTAATACCTGGCAATGCAAGGAAGCCTACTAATGCTTCTAGCAAATGCAGCACAAAAGCACAGTAACTGACTTCAGACAGCAGATGGTGCTTGAAGCTTTTTTAAATTTCAAGCATGGAAGCACATTAAAAGTCAAAGTGACTCATGCACTAGAAATCTGCAACATGCTCCACCATAGTCATTAGGAGATGGCCTGTTAAAGACAATTTAAAATGCAGTATGCCAAACTACTTCAAAAAGAAAATAGTCCATGTAGAAAGTTGCAATTAATTATGCTGCCTTTCATGATTTGTGATCATGGAGAGGAAAAAACAACCCCTGCCCCAACCCAACCTGCAATGGTATTTGCTGCAGACAATTAAAGTAATTATCTTGGACAGAATCAGCCCAGTCTACTTCAATTTCAAAGCGTTTGCAAAGACGTTGTCCCCCGTCCTCCACCCTTTCTTGACAAAAGGGCTCCCTGTCAGCCTGCACAGAGAGGACAGCAGCAGCAGACAGACTTCCCTCCTCCTCCTGCCCACTTTCTTGCTTTCTTTCCAGTTCTCAGCTCCCGACTCCCCTCCACCTCTCCAGAAGAGAGCTCTTTCCCAGCTATTCATCCGGAGCCTACAAGAAAGGGGGAAGGAGAACCGGAGCGGGGGACAGAGGGGGTGCAGGGCTGAAAAGGTCTATACCTGACACCCGACACTGTACAAAAGATTTTATAACTTTACGAAGGCCACAGGTAGTCTGTGCACTCACAGATCTCACAGAAAAGCTCCTCTGAGTTTTCATAGAAATCCAAACAAAAGAGAAATCTCCCAGCACACGATTATCTCTGGACATGCAGATAATTGCAGCATTTTTAAACAGGTAACACATGTTTCACAGTATTACATGAATCTACTAACACCAAAAGACAGGCATGGTTGGAAACTTGACCTCTAGTAGCCCAGACTTAAGCAGGAGACAGAGAGTGAGCTCCAGTTTGTAAAGTTTTGTTTTGCCTGGATTTCTGTCTGGAAACAAGGCAGGGAATGTAGCCACAGGAGAAATGCCCAAGAAAAACAAGGGAACGATTGAAACAAACAGGCAAAGAAAGGGTAACAAATGGACAGCAAGCAGGGAAAAAGAACAGCAGGAGAAATTATTTTTCAACAGTGCAGATACTTAGAAGTCTGCTGTGATTTTAAACTAAAGACTTCGGAGAGCGGCACAAAAGGCTGCATGACTCATGGGCGAGGATTCTGCACACTAATGCCACAGACGTTTGTTAAGGGATCATCTATTTCCTTTGCAGAGAAAGAAAGAAAGAAAATGAGAGCGAGTGGCATGCACGTGTAGGTGGCTTTTGAGAAAAAAAATCCTTATTTCCATTAAAAGGACAAAAGTAAAGTTAAGGAAAGGTTCATGTCCAGGCGCTGTCAGTAAAGTGTGTGGTTTGGTTTGGTTTTGTAACCACTTAAAAGTTGCTGCTTTTGTGTGTGTGGGGGAGGTGGGGAGCAGCAGAGCAAATTTAAGCGCTCTGGGAGAGCTGCACAAGCTCTGCTGCTGAATGGCAGTGACAAAAACACCTGAAAAATCACAGAAACTCCCCATATCACGAGACCTGCCATGACTGTTGGCCACTATCTTGTGAGGTGCAAGAAAAAAGTGCAGAAATGAAAAACATGGTGAACATGAAAAGATGTTTTCCTACAGCCTTTGAAAATATGTGTGTGTGTGGTTTTTTTTTTTTTTTTTTTTTTTAAGTGAAGCGGAAAATAATATTGTTCTAAGGAAATCAGGTGCCTATTTCCTGTTTTTAAAGTATTTCATTGAAACTGAAATCTTGGGATACGGAAATGTTGGCTTTAGTCTCAGATGCCTTCCTAATTCCTATGTGGTGCTTCTCTGAGCCAGGAGAGCAGCGAATTAGAGCAAGATGACTACTTTGAAAAGCTATCATAATAAATGATGATAAGTGACTATTAAGACAGTGACATATTTCCAGAGTCTAGGCAGGGAATTTGTAAATCAAAGGATTAGACAGGTTAAAATATATATATATATACTGGGAATGGTTGGTAAAGCACACATATGCACACACACGAAGCATGGGGCAGGGATGCGTTTGCCTTCCTGATACGTGATCTCTGAGAAGCTCTTGTTCTGAGTGAGTAAACTTGTTTTGAGATGCATGTTCAGCTACTGGGTGCCGTTAGAACAGCCCCCTTCCTGCATTCCCTAGGAAAAAGCACTTCCCAAGATGAGACAGCTGAAGTGATCACAGCTGATTACAGGGCAAGGAAGGGCCAGGGTGCAGCTAACTCACGACATATGACACAGACATCACTAAAGTTCACCCAGAATAGGAATAACTTTACTGCGTGCATTCAAGGGAACATGTTCCAGAAGCAAAGTACTAGTAGCAATTAGTTACTGTTTTCAGGAAATATAAAACAAGGCATATGAATCTCGTATTATAATAACTGCACATCAACATTTTAGGAATCAGTTTGGCAAGTCTCCGATGCCCATGCTGCAAAGCCCAGCTCTGCTGGCTGGGCCTCCTGCAGGCCGTGAGGACCAGCAGGAACATCACTTAGGCACCTTGAAAGCTATTCTGGCCCACGCCTAATTAGCAGATCGTCAGTGGGAAGAAAATAGCTAGCAGAAGGATGATTTATTCCTCTGCCTCCTTTTTAATCTTAATTCTTAAACCTTACACTACACTTAGACAGAGCTTTCATCTCTGCTGTTTCTCATACTGCTGTCCCCTCGTATCAGATTTCCGTGACTCAGAACAGTAAATCACAGCATGTGTGCGTGATGTGTGGGGGGGTTCCTGCCATAAAGAAAAGAGAGAGACTTCATGTAAATGAAAACCATGGACAGAATCAGTATATACTGGCACAGACACTGTTGCTCTAAAACTGTCTATGCGCATTTACTCAGAAGTTGTTTGCAATATTATCTAAGGGAACGATTTGGAGATTGAGAGATAAATAAATAAATTCTTGTAAACCCATGTAATAATTAAGGTGTTATATATATACATATATATGATCTAGAAGTGAAATTTAAGAATTAAGGCCAGCTATTTTTAGCCTTCCCATCTTAAGCCCACTATTTGGAACCACTTACAAGAATTTGAAAGAATAATAATAATAATAATAAAACCAAAACAGTAGTTTGAACTTTTCATAGCAGAGGGTAAAAATGATTTTAAAGTTTTATTTATATATATATATTTAAGAGAACTTGGATATGCACTCTCTAGTAAGGCTGATTTTGAGACATGGTCCATTCCACACGAGAATGACACATGTAGACATGTAAGAGCCTTTTGGGGTTATTTTGGAATTCTGTGCTGTGTTTTCCATTGCAAAAGTCTGGAGCCACACAGGTACTGCCCTGTCTGACAGAATCAGACGTGAAAGTTCCACTGACAGTGGTTTTCCAAGCATAAAAAAATAGATTTTCAGTTGCTGGTAACAAGGAGGTTGTGCTACAGAAACGTATTTCAATACTGCCATGCTGTTCAACTTTTAATATCTGTTTTTCTGCTGTATCAGTGCAGACCAGCTTGTAGCTTCAAGGGTCAGTGCAATGGTAGAAAAGAAAGTTTACAGCCAACAGAAGGGGGCTCGGGGGACCTATAGCCATGCTGGCTTTTCCAGGTAGATGGTAAAGCGCAGCAAAATGCATAGTCTGAAAAATACACTGGGCATGACAAGCAAAGGGCTTATCAAGAACATTCAGCCCATTAACATTTTATTTACAACTCATCCTTAAAAGTAAGTTAAATCAAGCTCAGTTGTGCACATTTCCATTTAAACCAGTGGGCTTTGCCTCTGCAGATGTCAGCACAAGGAACATGCCTCAAATCACTACTTGGAACATCGGGATCATGCACCATGTCAATTAGGGGTTATCCTCCAAGTAACAAGGAAAGGCAGGGACCCTGTTGGGAGTGCTTGGAAGTGTTACCTAATACTTATGCTAAGAGCACAACCAGCTAGAGGAAGGGTGTCCCACCTTCACGTGAAGTAAGTAGTGGTCTCTCACTCTGCGGTTCAGGGCAGCAGCAGTTGTCAGCACTCCCTGATGGTTAATCTGGAAAGTGCTCTCCTCGTTTCCACTCAGGATGGTGAAGAGAAAAGGAGGACCGTTGTGAGAAGAATCCTTGTCTGTCACCACCAGCTGCAGCACGCTGAATCCAATAGGCTTGTTTTCCTATAAATACATAACATGATCACCGTGGTTTTGTTAGAGATATAGCTCGATGATGATTTCTTTTTTACAACAGGAAAAAATATTAAAACTAAATTACCATCAAACCAATTAACCAGTGTAAGTGAAATCTTGATGACAATACTCTTTAAGGAAAATGCTACTCTATATGAATAATGATGAAAGCAGTAAAAGGTAGTATTTCTTTAAACTTTCTCTTGCATTTTTCTAAAGTAGTTCAGCCTTGAAACTTTTTATTTATCACCAATGGTCTGAAATAAGGTTACAGCAGATTCATTACTGAGTCATCACAGATCTCAAATTTAACTAAGATACTTATTAAGAATAATCCAACGCCTTTGTTGGAGGACTAGAAAAACACACTCCTCCATCTGCCTCCCACACCCTTAATTAGTGTTCTGACTACAGCCACAGTCTGCTTAAGACATGAAAGGCAGATTTTAAAATTTATTTCCCAAAACCTCTTCAAGTTTGCATTCTGTGGATGCCAGAGGTTTCACAGCCACTTCATACACATAAGTTATCATGCATTTGATACATACACTTTCCCCTAACACTCAATATTTTTTTCCAAAACATCTGTGTTGCACTGTATTGATGTTGTTTTTCACCATTTTAATATGTAAAAAAGTGTTATTATGGTTTACAATGATAATAAAAGACTATCCTTTCACAGTTGCATGGACTCCTAATAATAAGCATACTCTGTTCTTGGGCAGTGTACACAGGTAAACTTCTATGAAGTTAATTATCAGCTCTTGCAGCTGAAGCCAGTGTGTAGCAATATGAAATACTATTCCTGCTTCTACTGCTTCTGGTACCAGAGGAGGCCAATGTGGATCAAATCTTGAACTATGTGCAGAATACTTGCATCACAGTAGGAGGCAGGTAAAGCATCTTTTCTGAGCAGTTACTGTATGGTTAACAAAACAGCAAGACTATCAGGTATTTTAACCTAGCTACATGATGCTAATCACACTATAAACACAAATGCAATACATAAGCACATACACACAAACCACGTCCAGAAAAAGAACAGACACTCCTTCTTCCACTCCAGTTTCTAAATAGACTGCACAGTATGGAGTCTGCAATTCTTAGTGCTCGATTCAGAGGAGCAGTCCCACTGACAATCTCGAGTAATTTAAAAAAGGATACATAAATATCCTTCCACAATAAAGTGGAAGCAATGAAGGTTTTTCTCAGTTTGCCTACTTTTTCAAGTCAAATTTAACACTCAAATAATATTAATTTGATTACTAAAACTTTAACAGCTACAGTTAAGTTTACCTGGATGATGACACTATAGTTTCCTTTTGAGAAAACTGGGGGATTGTCATTTACATCAGAAACATCAATATTAACTGTAGTCGTGTTAAATCTGGGTGGGTTTCCATTATCTGAAGCTTGAACTGTCAAGGTGTAGCCTGAAATCTACAAATAAACAAATGAATAAAACAATCCACAGATTCACTCTGTGACAAAGAAACATCAGCAAACTTAGCTTTTCTTTTAAGAAAGAAACATTTTTGTGCAAATCCCCAATAAGGCTTAAGTTTATACACGTATATAGCTGTAAGTATGACCCACCCCCGTCCCCACCCTCAACACTGCCATAAATAGTTGCTTTCATTTTGTTGTGTAATATTTGAAACAATACATTATAAATATGACCCAAAAATGTGTTAGCTTTTAATTACTTCTAACTAAATTAATCCCAACCATTCATAAAGCATCAAAAACTTACTTTTTCTCTGTCTAAAAGTTTAGTCACTTTTATTTCACCCCTGGTACGGTCAATTGTAAAAGGATTTCCCTGATTGCCATCTATAATCGAGTAGTGAATGTGGTTGTTTGAAGGTCCATCCGCATCATCTGCCATAACCTATGGGACATTAAAGGTCATTTAAAACAGGTCTAGACAGACACTATCGTGTTGAAAATAAACTCATCCTGAAGATAAGCACAGTTGTTCCAGGTCTAGCAAAATTACAGAGTTCTCAGGAGGAGCATCATAATATTCGTCACCTAACTCATTTCCTGAATTCCTTCTGAAAATGAAGTCACGTTCTCGTGAGCAGAATACAACACACCACATCATACTGTGCACTTCCCCAAATTGCATCAGGTCCCTCGTTCTGAAACTTTTCCAGTTCACTCGGTGGCAAATTTATCTACTTATGTACGCATGTCTTCAAATTAATATTTAGTCCTTCGCGGCTGAAAGAATGATAGTCATAACAGAGCATTTCAAGGGAAAAGCTAATACCCACCGTAATGACTGACTGCTCAAGGATAGCGTCTTCGCTGATTACTGCGGTGTAAGTGTCTTGGCTAAACACGGGAGTATTATCATTAATATCTGTTACATTAATATTCACTGTTACAACATCACTTAATGAAGGTGTGCCTCCATCTGTGGCTTCTACTGTCAAGTAATACTCATGGGAAACTTCATAGTCCAGGTTCTCAATGATAAAAATGGCTCCTAATAGGGCAAAAATGGTAAAAGAATTAGTGTTTGTGTGTGTAGTAGCACATACTGCAGGTTTTCAGTTTGTCTGATAAATAAGCAGCTTCTTCAGGACTTGATTTATCACTGTAAAGGTAGAGCTAAACAGTGATATAATTGGGCTTTAAGCTTAAGAGTAAAAGGTTTAGAAGCTCCCACCATTACCACCCAAGATTCATACTTTAAAACTACTTGGCTCATTTTTATTATTAATAATAAACAATAAAATTTAAAAAAAATGTTTAACAAAAGTCCCTTTCTTAGTTTTCAACTAATAATTATTTTCAATTAATAAGAATAGAATAGCTTTGTATATATTTGAATTGTATATGTTAACAAAATATTGCCATTAATGAGGTAATATTTTACAAAAATCTAGGTGATTTCTGAAGCTAAATCTGATTAACTTTCAAGCCTAAAATTTCTGCTGCCATGCTGGACATATGTTTGAATAGAATACTCCAGTCTTTCTTTAATGCTGTATCAACCTCATCTAGAATTACCATCTTTGTGGATTAGTATTACTTGTCAATATAGTTTCTGATCTTTCTTTTACAGAGTCGAGTTACTCACCCTGACTACACATAATGGTGTTTGTGAAAAGACTGCCATGCTCCTGTAATTATAGGATCCTTGCATTCCCAGGGTGGGGAACATTCTGCTAGGAAACCCCTACTCTTACATAACTAAATAAATCTAACACAAAAGCAAACCAAACCAAACTCAGCAGCATTAAGTAAAGTTCTTGTTTCACAGTCTACTGTCCTCCTTTGCATACTGGCAAAGGGGCAAATACACACCATCACCAGCTGTGCAGCCAGGGTGGCTGCATGGGTACTCTACATGGATTATTATACATAATCTGTTTATCTGAGCTATTGCAAAGCATATGGAGCAGAGTGCTCAGTCAGGCTAGCGCATATTCAGCTACATTCTGTTACCTGTTGTGGAATCAATACTGAATTTTCCGTGTTCATTCCCACTGACTATTGAGTAGGTGATTTCAGCATTGGCTTCGATGTCCCTGCTCGCAGCATAGATCTGGAGAACTTCAGTCCCAACCAAAGTGTCCTCTGACACGCTGGCACTATACTCTCTATGCTCAAATACAGGTGGATTGTCATTTATATCCAAAACAGAAACTATAAGGCTACTTGTGGAAGACAATCTTCTAGGTAAGCCTTCGTCCGTAGCCTTCAGAGTCAGCGTGTACACAGCCTGCAGCTCTCGATCCAAAGGTTTCTCCAACCGAATGATTCCAGAGAATTCATCAATAGAGAACTGGCCTTCTGCAGAGTTCACCAGTGAATAACGGATTAGACGGTTTGTCCCTGTTTTTTAAAATGAATTGTAGAGCATTAAAAAAAAGAAAGTTAAAATACACCAAAATAAGAGTGGATCTGATAGCTACAGAAATAAAGCACGTACATGAAATACTGTCATTCATCTTAAAGTAAATTTCAGCAACAGTTAACAGCTCCTGTCAAGGAAAGAATGATCCCCCAAAAGGTGCAGTCTGATTTAAACAAACAAATTCTTCATCATACAGATTTTCTGTCACAATGAAGCACAATTCTGTCTCAATCACAGCACTGTCTAATATGAAAATATTAGTAATATAAATTATAACTTTAAAACAATGGCATCTGCTTAGCAGGCTTAAAAATAACACTGGAGAATATGGGGGATTTGGACTGCATCAAGTAACCAGGCTCTATTCCAGTAAGTTTAAGAATCATGTCCCAGAATTAACAGGAACATCATTTCTGGCAAGATTTTTGTATAAAATAAGCAACATCAAAGAAAAAAACCTTCATGTTTTAGGTCAAGCTTTTTTTCCTAAGCCCCAAATACTAGTAAAAGTATGAAAACATCTGACTTATCTTCCAGTTCAATAACCTAGATTTATCATAGTAAAAATCAGTTTTTTTCATGATGGTGAGGCAATTATTTATATTATTGGATTAAAAAAGGATAAGAAATATAGAAAAATCATATACCTTTAAACAAAGACCATGCTCTTGTGTTCTACTTCAAAATATGTTAACAAGTCTTAAGAACAAATTCTTTCTAATGTCATTTTCAGTTCATGTCTTAATACTTAGAACTAAACGGTGATAATAAAGAGGCAAAACATACATATAAAGGTATACGCATAAGGTTGCATAAACATAAAGCTATATTTAACCAAAGGTCTCTTTAGGACATGATCATCCGCAACTAGGCTGAGGAGTACACATTCCAAATACGACTTGAGAGGGTTTCAACTTCCTTTTACTTATTGCAGGCATAAAAGAAAGGACTTGGCATCAGAACTGTAATAGCTAAGTGCACAGAAACGATCCTTCGTTTGGTCTCTCTTCCCCATTCTTTCTTGCACAGTCAGACATACAAAAGTGATGTTCTCCAGGCTACTAACACACGAGACTTGGGTGTTTCATCATTTAGTTGACCTAAACATATCATTCAGAAGTCTAATCCTGAGAGGTATTGGACATCTGCCAGTTCCACTGGAACACCTAACACCTCTCAGGATAAGACCAAATAAACACTACTGTAACTTGGAGGCCGTGGCAGAAGAATCATTAAAGAATGAGTACCTGTATCTGCGTCTGTTGCCTGCACTCTCGTCAAAAGTGTTTTAGGTTCTGTGTTTTCAAATACAGTAATGGAGTAAGGATCAGCTGTAAACTCTGGGGCATTATCATTCACATCTTCCAGAGTCAGAATAATATTAGACTGGCAGAATCTTCCTCCTCCATCTGTGGCTTTCACTAGAAGATAATAAACTGCTTGCTGCTCACGATCAAGTGGCATTAATGTTTTCAGTTCACCTATAAACAGAGTAAAAAAACATAAATGGAGACGAGCTTCATTAAGTGACCCATAATGTGTAGTCTAGCATGCTTTCCTCCTCTGAAATCCCTTTGTGCTCAGAAAAGATGAACAATAATTTTCTTTTGGAGATAATTTCATCAGTAGCTGAGTCAACAGCTGCAGTGCACCAATGACCTCTACTTTGGGCATAACATGTCAGTGACTTACCTTTTCTGCTTTGAGAGTTTACATGTTAAAATCTTGACAAAGTACTGACATTTATGTGTGTCTTACTTTATTGTCAAACATTTTATAAACAGAGGCTATGACTGCAATCTCATATAGCCTATAAAGTGTGAGAAGTTTTACCTGTGTCTGGAGTCAGTCTGAATTTTTCTGCACCTGTGCCATGCAGCGTATAGGTGATTTCAGCATTGGAACGAATATCTGCATCCGTGGCAGACACCTGCATTATCACTTTGCCAGGAAGGGCGTCCTCAGGAACAGTATCGCTGTACAAGGCCTAAAAGATTTTAAAATAACACAGTACGATTAAAACATATGAAGCAAGTAGGAGTTGCACAGGAAGGGAGGAAGAGAATGACAGGTAAGAAACTCTGTTTGAACGCTGGGAATGTGTGAAGTGAACCAGAGAATGAAATACCTGGAAATGAAAAAAAGGACTTGTGAATTTTCTAATTAATTACCTTACAGCTAATGAATTACTCGGAAAGGTAATTATTACTGACATTTGCAACCTTATGGACTCTGGAATGTCAATACATAGCTACTAACTCTAAGCACCTCTAGAAGATTAACTAACAATCCCCAGTCTTGTAGTTGTGAATTTCTTTCTACAAATTTACTTTTTCATCTTTTGGCAAGTCCTTTTCTCTAAGTCCAACTGAATCTAGAAGAAACCAGCCCTTTGTACAAAAGGGTTACAGGCTTCCAGATTAAATAATAAGTAAGGAAAAAAAGAAAAGGATATAAAGACGCTAAGCAGTCTCTCTCATTCACGTTAGGCATGTGAACTACTATAGAGGACTAGCCCTTATAACCTAGACTAATATTAACAAAGGGATAAAGCAAAAAACACAGGATAGAAGCACAGACTAATAAAAAGAATTAAATATTGGCAGTATACTTGATCCTTCCCAGATCAAGAAAAGATTTTGCCTTTCTAACCCAATAATATCCAATCTATTCAACATGACACAATGTGATGTTTATGAAATGTCCAAAGGTGCTAAGAGAGGTAATAAAAATTTTTTTTAAAATGATTGAAAGCTCAAGGCTTTTTTATACTTGCAGGTTTTGCTTTCCTGTTCTTTCCATTTTTTAAATATATATATAAATATATGTATATATTTTTGGTGTTGTTTACTGCAACTGCAGTGCAATTTTCCAGTCTTTCTAACTTCTCTACTCCTATCACTGGAAATGCACAAATACTTTGACTTTGAGGCTTTAGCTACTTCAGAAGAATTATATAAAACTATCATGCAAAAGCGTGCATTAATACAGGAAAAAAAATGAATTAATTCATCTTCATGTTCCTCAAATCCTCATCAAATGATGAAATTACTTCACCAAATTGTCTTTGGATTTTTGAAATTGCTAAGAAATCTGCCCCAGATTCTTTGGTAGCATGTTGCCTTTGTAGTACAAAGTATATTTCTATTACTAGGGAATACCTCCTTGTCAATCCCCTGAGATACAATTTCAGAAAAATGAGCTTACATTTTACCTAGGGAAGCAGCTGGATGTGTAAGGTGTAAGATTGAGCCTACCTTTTCACAAACAGGGCTGTTATCATTAGCATCAAGAACTTTAACCTCCACCACAGCTTTAGTTGCAAAGGTCCCATCAGTAGCTGTAATATTTAGAAGGTAATTGTCCTTTTCTTCCCTGTCCAGAGGCTTTTTGACATAGACCTTCCATTCATTCTGTATATTTTCAACAGCAAACTGTCCCAAGGGATCACCTCCTGAAATATGAACAGATACAGTTTACCAAAGAGAAGAATGAGAATGTCTATTAACATTAACTTACAGCTAAATCTAAATAAATAATCTAAATGCAACCAAGCAGCCACTCTCTCTGGCTCTATAAAGAAACAAATTTTTTTTTTCCAAGTAAAGATAGTCAGTGAATGCTTAGACAACAATTTAACTACAGCAATAAATTATATAATTTATATGAAGATATATAATTTAACTACATGCTATAAGTAATAACACAGAAATTAATGCAGCATTATAGTTTTAGCATACATATACTAAAGAAAAATATTAAAGATTCCACTGAAAATTAGTATTTTATTATTTTATGAAATTTCTCTGGTTTGGTCTTTAATGTCATCATTTATTTTAGGGTAAATACTATGAAACCTGGTATATAAGAAGTAAACAACATATTTAGAAAGACATTTTAAGCATGTGTCAAGCAAAGCCAAAGATTTGCTTTCAAAAACTCATTTCTACCAATAGTTTTTAATTTTCTTTTACAAAAAAAGATATTTTGCCTGCCACTGTACAGCTTCAAAATATGTATGTTTGCTAATAATTTGAAAGACTAAGTGGTAATTCACAGCATTCTAGAATTACTCAAATGATTGTTCTGTCATGACTCAAAACCATTTACCTGTAATATAATAGGAGACTTGTCTATTGGCTTCTTCTGTATCAGCATCAGTGGTACTCAAGATGGCAATGACCCCACCAGGAGGGTCATCCTCGCTCACTGTCCCTTTATAGATCTCTGCAGTAAAGCGTGGAGGGTTGTCATTCACGTCTGTAACAGTAACTTCAACCACAGCCATAGAAGATAGCTGATTTTTTTCAGCCCTGTCTGATGCAACCACTGTGATTTTGTATTTGTCCCTTTTCTCATGATCGAGCTCCTTGAGAGTGGTTATCCAACCAGTTTCCATGTTTATGGCAAAAGACTCTAAAATGTCTAGTTCTTGCAAAGGATCTAAACTGTAAGTAACCTGCCCATTGAGTCCGGAATCTAAATCAGTTCCTTTAACTTGGATGACTCTTGTTCCAGCCGGCATGTTTTCTACAACAAATGCTTCGTAGGGATTGGACTCCAAAATTGGTTTATTATCATTTGCATCTTTTACCTGAATGTTTACCTCTACTGAGGAAACAACATCATAACCTTCATTCGCATACTGGGCTAGCACTGAGAACTGGTACCACTTTGTTGCTTCATGATCGAGCTTCTTCTCAAGCTTCAATCTTCCACTTTGTCGGTCAATTACAAAAAAATCATCCCTGTTGCTTTCAGGAGTATGCCCTTTGACAAGGCTATACACCAAAGTCTGGTTATGCTCTGCTTTGACAACATCTATCTCAGCTCCAATTGGAAGGTCCTCAGAAACTGTGTAAGAATAAAATGGTTCTGAAAATCTGGGGAGAGGCACTTCTGGTGGGAGTATTCTAGCATAGACAGGAACAACTGACTCCTTTGAGGGGGAACCACCATCCACTGCTCTAACAAAGAAGGTTAGAAACTCATTTTCTAAACCAATTAAGCTTTCTTTTGTAGTAATTACCCCAGACAATGAATCAATTTCCAAATTCTCTTTAACACTTTCAGACTCTGCTTCAATAGCATATGTGATGTCTGCATTTGTGCCCTCATCCGCATCAGATGCCCAGACTTTGACGACAGAAGTTCCCCTTGGAACATCAGATCCAATATTTACTTCGTATTCTGTTGCTCGGAATTGAGGAGCATTATCATTGTCATCTGTAAGGATTACATTAACTGTACAGAAAGCGACTTTTCCTCCTGAATCTTTGGCCATTAAACTTATGGCGATTACTTTTTCAGCTTGTGTTTCACGGTCAAGCTTTTCAGAGGTAAATATCTGCCCTCTTTCATTGGTGTAAAATCTATCTTTGGCAAAGTCATTTACAATGTGGTAAGTGATGTGACCATAAGTACCAGAATCTTCATCTGTTGCTTTCACCTCAGTCACCAAAGTATGTAATGGGGCATTTTCAGCTAGTTCAACCTCATACTCATTCTGGCTGAAAACAGGGTTATGCATATTGGCACTGGTTACAATTATGTGCACTTGGGCTGAGCTCCTGAAGACTCCATCAGACACAGACACATTAAGATTATAATGCGACTTCAGTGGCTGTCTGCGTAGGTTTGAGATGGTTATGATGCCAGTTTTACTATTAATTACAAAATTCATGTGGTCGTTGCCTGACAGAATGGAGTAGTCCAACTTATCGGCATCAGAACTGTCCGCATCTGAGGCTTGTACACATGTCACAAAATGCCCACGAGGAGCCAGTTCACTAATTTTAGCTTCATAAAGCAACTGGGTAAACAGAGGGGGATTATCATTGAGATCGGTTACATCAACGGTTACAACAATATCACTGCTCAAAGGCAGCATGCCACCATCTATGGCCCTGACTAGTAATTTGTGCTGTTGAATTTGTTCATAGTCCAAAGTTCTTGCTGTTAGAATGAGTCCAGTAACACTGTCGATGTGGAAGAAGTCTTGACTTCCACTACTGTCCTCAACTAGGTGGTAGGAAATTCCTCTGTTTGTTCCAGAATCAGCGTCTGTGGCACTCACTTGTACAACAGATGTTCCAATGACAGAAGCCTCAGAAAGGGTCACGGTGTAAGACTGCTCAGCAAACACAGGAGGATTATCGTTGATGTCTTCCACTATTATGTCTACAAACACATCAGCATGCGCCCCAGTGAGGGAGTCTGTTGCTCGAATACTCAGTTTGTAGGCTGGATGAGACTCAAAGTCGAGAGGGGCAACAACGTTTACAACCCCAGTGTTGAAGTTGATAGTGAACTGATTGAAAGGATCTCCATCCGTGATGCTGTAAAACACCTTAAGTCCTTCTGGGCTGTTTGCTTGTACATGCACAACGGGGCTATGGAGCTGAACATTTTCTGGTATCTCTGCACTGTAAAAAGGCTTTTCAAAAACTGGCATAGCTTTATTCATAACTGTAATTGGAACAACAACTTCAGCAGCGAAAGCTGGTTCTCCTCCATCTTTTGCCACTACTGTGACCATATACTCCTTATTTAGTGTGTCAAGTTCAAATTTTTTCTTCAGGGAAATTTCTCCGGTGGGGTCAATTTGGAAGTGTTCATGATGTTCTTTGAGATAGTAATGCACCTCCCCATTTTTGCCTGTATCTTTATCTACAGCAGTGACGCGTCGAATAACATGGCCTACTTCAGAGTCTACTTTAACAACAGCATAATAGGGGAGATTGACAAAAACTGGAGCATTATCGTTTACGTCTTCCACACTGACTTTAACCACAACGTGAGCAACAACTGAGGGTTTATGCTCCTCTGTCACTTCTATCACCACATCAAAAGACTCTTGCTGTTCACGATCAAACGGTATTCCGGTTGTTGAAAGGACTCCTGAAGTGTAGCTTATTTTAAATCTGCTGTCTGGATTTAGAATATGATAAAACAAAGGCTCATTTATTTGATTCCCTATAGCAGTGACAACAGCTATTGTTTTTGCCTCGGTGGAATTCTCCTGCACTGTTGCAGAGTAAGAGCTCTGTGTGAACTTCAGTTGGCTTGCTTTGCTTTCTTTCACATTAATTTTTACAGATGCAGTGCTTGCAAATCTGCCATCGGATGCTCTAACTGTTAACTCGTATCTGCTCCTTAGCTGAGTTGTATTTTGTACTGTTATAACTCCAGTCTTAGGGTTTATGGAAAATTTTTCTCCAATGTTGCCGTCAATAATGGAATAAATTAATTGTGAAAAAATGCCCGAATCGGCGTCAGTGGCATTTACGCTGATGACTTTCACCCCTCTGTAGGTGGGAACCAAAATGGACGTCTCATACAACTCTTTGGAAAACACAGGAGGGCAATCATTGATGTCAATCACATAAATAGTAACATTAGCTGCATAGTCTGCATGTAAGCGGGGTACGCCCATATCATGCACTTGCACTGAGAAGTGGAAAATGTTGGTCTCCTCGTAGTCCAGGCTCATCACAGTCCGAATGGCACCGGTGCTGGAATCGATGGCAAAGTACTTGTGGACAGATGGTTCAACGATCTGATAAACAAGCAAAGCATTTGATTCTTTATCAGCATCTGTAGCTCGAATTACTAGCGGAATATTCTTGTCAGTTAGGACCACACTGTTAATTGAAGCCGATTCGCTGATGAGTCCTGTGTATTCAGCCTGTGTAAAAATGGGTGCGTTGTCATTCTCATCGCGCAGATGCACCAAAACTGTTGCATTAGTGGACAAGCCAGCCATGTTTGTTCCCTGCACAGTTAGCGTGTAAACAGGCGAAGTTTCAAAGTCAAGTAACTTCTGAGAAATAATGACACCCGAGTTTGGGTTGATAGCAAAGGCATCGCCTATATTACCATCTCTTATTTCATAAACCACGGACGACTGACTGTACGCTGTAACCATCCCAACAACCGAACCGATGCTGGCACTCTCACTGATTTCGGCAGAGTATTCCTTGGCCGTGAATTTGGGGGAGGCATTATCAGAAACCGTAACAAACACATGCACAGAAGTCACTTCACTCATTGGAGGATCTCCTTTGTCCGTGGCTTTTACCACTAAGCTGTACTCCTCCTGGTTACTGCGGTCCAATTCTTTGGCAATTTTAATTATACCCAAAATGGGATCTATAGAGAAGGCATTTCCAATATTCCCTGTGAAGAAAAAGAAATGTAATTAAGTAAAAGGTGTATAAAAATTAAAGGAAGATTGTTTGTTTAGCCATAAACTAAGCAGATGATGTACAGAGAACACAGGGAACTTATGTTTTCTTTATTTTGTTTAAAAATTTTCTTTAGCCTCTTTGAAAAGTTTTATATAATGAATTAGCAATAATTCTAGGTTTACTCAAAGAAATGGCACCAAGTAGAGTTAGTAAAGCTATCCAAGAATTCAAAATAAATTAAAAATTTTGATTCATCTTCAATTAAAAAAGGCTAATAAAGTTCACAGGTATTTTGCAGCTTTCAACACCAAAAATTACATACATTTTCTTCACATTACCTTTTTTACTGAGCACATGTTTAAACCAAATTAAAATCTACTGAAGTTGAAAGGAAAACCACATTCAGAAGCTGATATTAGTGGAAGAGTTATACTACATGATCTAAAGTATCTAGATTTTTGGAAGTAGTGTTGATTTTCAAGTGGTTATGCAAGAATCCTTCAAATTACTGTTACGAAATTAAAGATCTTTCTGAATTAGACTAGAAATTATTTTCGTCTTGACTTCATATTAATAAACAAATTATACCCTGTGATAAAATATTAGAAAAAAATAAGACCAACTGAATAATACCAGCTGACACTTGAAAACCATTTGTTTTCAACTATCTATTTGAAAGTGTAAAGAACTACACTGTACATAACATTCAACTCAAGCACTAAAACAGTGTAAGATTTAACATTTTACTCCCTTAAAAATTACATTACATTACTAAAGCCATGTTCTCAGCATGGAAGCATCCATTAAAAACTTCTGAGTTATGCATACAAGTAGGCAGAAGATGCTATCTTTTTTTTTTAGTGCAGGCTCCGAACACAGTGGCATTCTTAGAATATGCCATTACAAATCTCATCAGACATCACAAGCATTTAAAGAATGCTCATTCCATATGCCTAGAACATCAGCCATAAGGCTTTAACCTCCCAGCAGACGACAATCCTATAAAACAAATCTAAGAGGGTCTCAAATTTACTCCTACAAAAATCTACAAGAACGGAAAAGAAGAGGGTGTAAATTCATGCCAACCAGCATGCATACACATTTTTTCTTGCAATGCTTTGTTATTCACAAAATTAGTAAAGGCAAGAGAAGCTTTATGAACATTCGTGTCCTGCTTAGTAAAAAGGCTTGCTTTCCTGCAAATAGCAGAAACAAAGATATATTTTAAGCAAACTTATCAGACATTTAAATATATTCTCCCTCTTCAGAGTGTCATAATCACAGCTTTGTGTAAGTACTGTGTTAAGAGTATGCTTCCATATCAAAATAACACTTTGGCAGGGAAAAAGGAAAATATTTACAATAAACAATTCCTATGTCTTTATAAAATAACTTTTGGCAACAATAAAGAAGCAACATTTGCCCATATCATCTTGTATGCAGCAGTAACTGCATTACTTTTTACGTAACTTGTTACTGGAACTTCTATTGCAAAATCCTTCCTAGCTTCAAAAGAGTATAGCACATCGCTAACACAACTTAAACACATACTCTCTCCTTTTTTTTTTTTTTTTTTTTGCTTGTTTTCCAGTCATAATGACTAAATAATTCAGGACCTTGTTGATGGCAGGTTTGTGTCTAGATTTACTGACCCGAAACAAAACTTGCTTCCAACTAGCCAGTGCATCATTAAAAAGCCTGTCTTAACTGAGATGGTCTGCAATAGCATATAGATTTTTATTTTTGAGCTTCCTTCATTCACATTATACCAACGAATATGTCACAGGCTCCTACTCTTTTCATCAAATCCTTGCTTTGCCCATGCCTCAAAACATAACCTACGTCATCAGAACCGAACACAATTTTAGGATAAAATTAATACTTCTGCCGTTTCTAATGAACAAATCCTTTTAAGGATAATCCTTAGCTTTTTCTTTAGGAGGGTAACAAAAATAGATGAGGGAGATGAATATTAGTTATCCAATCCATTGCAGTTTTAAAGTTCTCAGATTATAGCTTAAAACATGACAAAATACGACACAGACACCTGTCATCGCCCTCTTTTTCATATCTTATTTTTCATACGTCTACAGATAATATGATCAGGAATTATTATTTTAAAACAGATTGAAGATTTGAGAACGTCAACATACCTGACTCAATGGAATACACAATTTCTGCATTTTTGCCTTTGTCCTTGTCTAAAGCTGTAACCTGGAGCACTGCCGACCCCGCAGCTGCTGACTCGTACACGCGTCCCTCATAGGAAGGGCTGGTGAACCACGGAGCGTGATCGTTCGTGTCGCTCACGTTAACGATGATCCTCGCGTAGTTGCGCTTTACAGGCACATCTTGATCTCGAACCTAAAACAATTAGCACGTTACCAGCTAGTAGCACCAGGCTATATTAGCTCTGTTACTAGAGCAGTTCATCCAATATTAGTAGTAATTCAGGGTTCAATCTGCACTAGTCAAAGTCTGCATACAAACTCAATATACACATAAAAGTTTATACTGGGGGAGGAGCAAAAAAAAAAGCATTAAAAAAAGAGAGGGAAAGATATGATTGTTGCTGTCTTCAGAACAAATGAAGAACTAAGGTGTTTATTTACCATTACTGTAAGAATATGCTGGTTCATGGTCTCATGGTCCAGTTTTTCTGAAGTATAGAGAGAGCCAGTTGCAGGGTCCAGACGAAATTTTTTGAGACTGATGGGATCAGTGCTACCCTGCATAGTATAAATCAGTTTATTCTTCTCATCTCTGTCCGTGGCACTGACTTGCAAAATTTCTGTCTCTGGTACAGTGTCTTCAGGGATAACAACTTCATATTTTGAAGTGGAAAATTGAGGCCTGTGATTATTTGTGTCTATTACTTTGATGTACACCTGAAATGATATAAAGGAAAGGGGAAAATATTAAATGATATTTGGGAAACACAGACGGAAACGGGATATTATTAGAAAACAGACCATAATACAGAAATACTTCTGCCGCAAACCAGATCTTTACAGTTCCGAGCCTGGGCTAGCAGTAAACCACAGAAAGCAAAATGGAAAAGTGCTCGAAATCCTACAGAATATTACTTCAAATTCCATTTTTTATTCTTCTTGAACGAAGCAGCAAGCAGCTGCTTGTCTCAGCATTGTCGCATAACATACAATCCACAGCTATCAATGACCGGCTCCACTGCGGAGAGCCGGACTGGTGGGGGAATTTACGGTGCATCAACTATACAATAAATGTGGGGAACTATCCAGAAGCATAGATACCTCTGAAGTGCCTCAGGAAGTCTATTATACTACAAACTATTACTGCTGGTAACAGGAAAATGCTGCCTCCAGTGGCCTATTAGAATTCTCAGAAGATGGTGGCAAAGAGACAGAAAAGAAACTAATTGTTTGACCTTTTAAAAAGCACCTTGATAAAGTTCCCCTCAAGAGGTTTCTAGGGAAACTGGAGAGTTTGGTGTCTGCCTTGGATTAGAAACTGATTAAAGACAGAAAACAAGGAGTCAGAATATTGATTGTCATCAAGAGAAGAAAGATAAATCAGAACTAAGTACAATATCAGAGTGAAGTATGAATAAAGTAGGTGACTCAGGTTGTATTTTAGGCCAAGGTGTTAAATACATTCATTGCCAAAATCAACTGAAATATGAAAAAAAATTAAAACCCCTAGATCCTTAAGTATGTAATTTTTAAATAAATTAAATGTATAAGAATACATTCCATTCTATACTAGACTGTATACTATATATATATATGCATATTATATACACTGCATAACCTAATGTATGCTATAACTGAAATCAAACTTAAATAGTCACTTAAATAGCACCTTTGTGAAAATATCTACTCACTTCACATTGGTGTTCAAGAAAATGAAGAAAATTAATGATAATCAACAAAAAAAGCAGAAAAATCCACCCTTCAAACCAAATCAAACTACACAAATACAGTTTGTATAAATGAAAGGCTAAAGGCAGTGCACAGTTATTTCACTGTTAGCACAAACAGGGATATTATGACTTCAAAATGAACACAGCTCAATCTTTTTTTTTTTTTCTCTATTATTCAATTTCCACCTACAGATAATTTAGACTCAGAAAAATAGTAAGTGGGAAAAAAAAAGTAACATTTGAGGAATGTTAAAGATGACTATTTAGGTTCATTCGTATTTTCTCAAAATAAGAAAGTAAGGAAACCTGGGAAAAGGTGGGAGGGAACGCAACCCCAGAGCAACCAGCTGCCTTAGGAGACTCCTCAGACTGGAAGGCCGTCCCTGCTGCTGCAGCCTGAACTGTAACTACAGGAAAGCAGCATTTCTAAAATGAAGCACCACAAAATACTGTGCAAAGCATAAGCTGAACACCAGGAATGTGGTCACAACACCTCCAAGACTAATCACACGGCCAAAAAAAACCTAGCTTAACTGAGATCTATCTAAATTTGTCAATCATTTTTGAGTTGAACTCAAAAAAGCTAAATCTTCCAACCTAAAACTATTATGGAAACCTACTAACAATCCCTGCTTTGGAGACGCCCCCCAGGACTTACCAGCATTCTTAGTGGCATTCAGTGACAAGCGCTGGGTGTGTAATTTTGATTTAAATGTCAAAGGACCAAATTTTCATATGAACTGTTAAGGTCTGCAATTTAAATGAAGGACCACAGCTGACAAAAGTTCCAACTGTGAGTGCTGTCCTGAAGCCCCCCACAGAAAGTTTGTGTGCTTGAGATCAAGGCAACTACATTAAACAATGTGTTCTTATAAAACAAAATTTAGAGTGCAATCAAACAGCCACAGCCATTCTCAGTGCGATTACGAGATGGAATATACTCCAATGTGGAATACACTCACCTTGCTTAAGAGCAAGATTTAAGATTTAAGAGGCATGCTAGAGAAAAGCTTGACATTAGTGCAATGCAAGGGGAGCTCTGAAATAAAACAGTTGGAAATTGAAGAGACTCGATCTGTTTTGCAAGGCCATACAAATAGCCACATTGCATGCTGGTGATCTACTGACATTGATGCAAGGTGGAATATGAAAAATATGAGAATATGAGTTATATAGAGAAGAACCAAGCCCAGGACTATTGAGGGGAAGGAATTCAAATCTATTAATTACATCACAGGTGACACCTAAAGTTGCATAGATATATACTGATTAGTAGTGAGTTATAGAGAAGAAATGTGCCATTGATAAAAGATATTTGGCCTGTAATATTTGAAAATTATGTTCCTTTGGATTGTTTAAATCTTATTTAGCATTTGCTGATTCCTTGTGGAGTTAAAGAACTCCTCCTGACTTTACTCATAATTACATTATGGCTATATCGACATGTTTATATTCATGTTCATAAACAAAGCTATATTAAAAGTTATATCATCTGGAGAGAATATAATTGCATTCTGTTTCCAAAATGTCTCTGTGGAGCAGTGTGGTGCTCTCAAACAAAAATGCAAATTTAATCAATGAAGAGCATTCTATTCTTCATTCCCAAATCAATCCTGAAGTATAATATCCACATAAATTTTGCATAAAACAAGATTCAGTATTCAGCAATAGAAAAGCAATAGGGAAACTACTGCAATTAAACTTTCTTATGCATTTCTTCTAATAAAAAAACCAAATAGCAATGATTAGAAACCTATGCACATGAGATATATATATGTATGTATATACATGTGTATTTATTTATTTATTTTAAAGTAACTGAATATTTCATGGATTGCTTCTTATTTCTGTGAATAACCAATTAAGGCCAAAACATTATAGTCCAGAAACATTAGTACATTGATTTTTTTTTCCTAAATATATTCCTTCCTACTTGTACTCCAAATCATCTTTGTCAAACAGCATTGCTGTAGGCCTGGAATTTGTTTATTCTTATTTTGCATGATGCATTTGGCATTTAGACGCACACAAACTCCTAACAGCCTCCACGCCTACTGCTGCTGCTCTATTTATCAAATGAGCTATTTACCTGAAGCCCTGAAAGAGTCAAATGCCCTACAGATGTTCACAGCCCGAGGCCAGCCAAAGCCTGCTGATAGACTCTATAGACAGATTTAGTTTCTTATTCACCTCCCAACAATGTCTTGAAAACATCATTTCTTTTTGCAGCCTGAATTTAAAATTATTTAATCTGCTGTTAATCAAGGTCCATTAAATTGTTTGCTGCAGTTCCAAATGCTTACATCAATTATTTGTAGGCTGTAAGTTTTGTATTGCCTGTTCTTAACACACACTCAGCAGCCAGCCTTTGTAGAGTTCTTAACTGATTCTCAGTGCTTTAGGGGACTCCACACACCATCAGCATTCAAATTTTCCTGGTCATTATTTCAGCTGTGAATAACGGAATTTACACACTGGTAGGCATAAATAACACCTTCACCTGAAGAGGAATTTGAAGTGTTGAGACTGAAATAGCAACATCCCCCAAGGAAGGGAAATAGCAAGATTTCATGTCTTCGCTCCAGTCTTTCTATTTCTGATTGAAAGAAATGAATCCACTCGGGTTTTTTTTTTTTTTTAATTACAACGGAACAATAAACTTGGTTCTCCAAACACTTTATGGTGATTATCAGCACCAGTGGCAATGGTAACAGCTGTGACAGCGGTGAGTTCTGACCTACGCTCTACCGGGGGCCATGCTGTAGTTTTTGAAGGTTCATGGTTCACAGCGTCACTCACAATTGCCACCTTAAAGGAAATGTTGACTCTCAAAGGAAGCTACTACCCTGGCAGCCTTCTACTGCAATTTAGTCTATTTGACCTATCTAGCCTCTAGATGTGCAGTTAGCTGAATAAAGATTCTGTTTTAAATACTAAATATTTAAAAGAAACATTTTTCCCTCTAGATGTCTAGATGAAAGAAGGAAGATCATGAAAGACACAGGGGAACAAAAGAAAAACATACATTTTGCACAAAGATTGAACAACAAGAAGTTGGGCTCACAACAGAGATTTCCATGTACACAGCAGACCCCAGAAACACGCTGTTTGCTCTGCAAGTTTCGCAACTGAGGGGTAGCTAAATGGCAGGTAACACACATGTATCACTATCCCCATCAGCCTTCATTCACTAAATAATTCCTCTCCTTTCCACACGGAAGAGGAAGCAACTCCACTGTGCTCATGGCTTCATTCCTGCCCATCTCAGATAAACCTTACTTCCAAATACATCCAGGTTCGGGGCTGGGAGAGAAACCAGATGGGAAAAACAAGAGACACACATCACAGCCTGCCTTTCTCTGGGTTACTTCAAGCACTGTCACAAAAGGCTGCTGGCCTAAAGCGAACTTCCTATTAGCCCAGCTGCAAAGAAGTTTCCAGGAGGAAAAGTCACACAGAGGTAATTTGGAGGAATTTGCCTTGTCACAGATTACCAAAGACTCTCCAATAAATGGCAATCTGGACCTTCCTTGAAGATAAGAGAAAGTACTCAGGAGAACGCATGCCAAGATGTTATCATCTAGAGCTTCTTTCCATATGGATACCATGCAGCAGGAGAAACTCAGTTTCATAAAACTATATTTGGACACTGTACAGTTTGTCACCCACATATCTTAAAATGATTCATAATGGTCTTCTAAATGCACAGCTAAATAATCACATCATTTAGTCATTTAGAGGAGCAAGTAAATCATGCAAGTACGGGCTCAGTTTCTGCTTTCATTTACTCAGCTAACTTAAGCAACATAATACAAATCCAAAGCCATTGATTTTGACTATGTTTTTTTAATGACACCCAGCCTTCCACCTGGCCTGCCAAACACTACGGCTGTATGAATATCAGAATCACTTCAATTTTAGACACAGTCTCTATTTTTATAGGGATTTATTTAATCAGATTCACTGTCCAGGTTGAAAAAAAATAAAAGGAAAACAAAGCAAAACAAATTGTTGCAGTTACAAATCCTGCCTTTACAAACACTTCACTAGAAACTCCCTTACCTGGGTGCTGATAGATCTGGTTCCATCTGTTGCCTCTACCGTCAAGTTGTATTGGGATCTCTGCTCAGCATCGAGAGGTCTAGCGACAATGATGGTGCCAGTGCCTTTGTCCACATCAAATCGACTGTCATAGTTGCCACCTTGTGCAAGAAATTGGGAGGAGAAGTTCATAAAACACAGCCATGCTATACTGTTTCATGTTCTTCCTCAGATGCTTAATGAAGGTGGAAGTATACAGACACATTTTAAAACCTTTACTGTTCTGGTGACAAGGTATGCTGCCATTACGGGTATTTAAGTCAGAGTAATTTTGGACAGAGCTGATTTGTCTGGCTCGTGGAAAGTTCATAGGTACATTCTGAGCAAGATTCGCAAATTTTTAATCAGAATTTAAGGACTGCAAAAGGCAGGAAGTAAGAGAATTATCAGGTGAAATATGATAGCTTATTTCATGCAGAAAGTCAGGCTAAATAGTCAAAAAGGTCCTTTATTTCAAATCAGAAGGGCCGTGAAATTCATACCTCTTGGGTCAGAGTAAAAATTAATATACTCATATATTTATAGACATAAGTTACAGGGATGCCAAAGCATACATGTGTCAATGCTGAGTAGCTACAAGATTCATGGTCTAACCCCTTGCTGAGATAAGTAGGACTTAGATGAGCATTAAAAGCTTAAATACTTTAAATATGTTCAAGCTCCTCTTCTGAAGGAAGGTAACTGATTTCCTTTGCAAAACTTGCAAATTACCCTTTGGAATATAGCCAAATAACCATGTAGCTCAACAGCTACACTTATGTCTTTTAAACATTTAATTGGTCATCATCATCTCTGTGCCACTCTGAGCAAGTTATCATATGAATACAATGTCCGATAGGTTCAAAAAATGATAAATATGGCTATTAACTACAATTGCTTTAGACTTGCCAATAAACTAACTAACTAAAATGGAGAAGTTTATTTTTTTGGTCAAGCCAGTGCTAGATGTAGCAAAGCAACTTCTTCTAACTGTACGCCTAAGTTTTTCTAATTATATTTTAAATTACTAACATTGAGGTGTAACAAGTGCTTTATTTATTCACATCTAAAAAGTTATTACATGCTATGTTTTGTACATCATTGAATGCTTTTTATGAAAAGCCATGGCTAGAAGTGAGAGGGTGAAATACCAATGGTTGCAACTTATATTTAATCTAAGAAAGAGCAGTAAACACTGTAATGGGCCCCCATTCCAACATAAAAGGATTGCACCTTTAGTAGGTTCCACCACAAGACAGACGTAACAATTGAGGAAAGATGGGCTGGATTATGCTTCACAGGATTTAAGATATTTGGAAACAGTAAATAATAAGGATACTGAAATCTTTGTAGTTTCACTGAAAGCCAATTTCTCCTGTTGGCCTAGAAGCAGTTTGAATTACACATATGGATATAAAATGAACAGCATGAAATGCAGCAGCTTTGTTTCGAGCAGGAGCACGTGAAATCCTGGTTTTGTGCAAGAGGTCACCTTCAGAAAGCAAGTCTCTAGCTTTTCTTATAGCTGATACGTGATATTGTTTTCTCAGATAGCTAGGAATTAATTTAACATCTAGAATTTAATGTCTCAGTGAAGCCATCTCCATTGTAAGGAAACAGCAGCATCAACGGGTACAAGCCTGTTCACTCAGTTTTCCTGGTGTAAGGACAATCTCACTGACTGATTTATTTATTTTTAAGCAAAGAAATTGCAAAGGCCTCTTCCACTTTTCGTAGTAGGGGTGATATCTGGCAATCCACTGAAGCAGCACCCAACCCAAACGTTTGCATCAGGTGCACTGAAAGTATAATAGCAACAGTTTTGGTCAAAAGCCAAAACTGGAAGCTCTAAAATGATGCTGTGTAAATGTAATGATGACAAAACAAAACAAAAACAAACCTGTCACAAATGCAACTGTGAGCACTTTGATTTCCGAAGAGTTAATAAAATAAATATTTTATAAATGTACGCTCTCATTTCAGATCTCATAATCTGGTAATAAATTATGTGATCTCAGCAGATACCTTCTGCTGTACAGTTCAGGTCACAAGCCATCTGAAAGATGTAAAATACTTCACTAGCAAGCTTGTCTCCTGGCTCAGCCAAAAAGAAAGAAAGCATGGAAAGCAAGCACAGAACATAAAGGAAAGCTGTCAATCAAATCATTTCATGCTATTAGAAACAGTAAAAGAGGGCAGTAAAGAGATCACCTTTAAGAGCAGCTGATAACTTGATAACATAATCACATACCAAACTTTCCAAAATAGTTTTGTTAAGAAAATAGTTAAAATGTTTGCTTTTACAGTCCATAGATAACTCCTGCTCTCCCTCCACATTAAAAAAGAAATATAAAAATACATTTTTAAAAATCCCCTTGAGAATTCTCTGTATGTGCCTTTGAGAATAGCAGGAATAGATCACCTATTTTCTGTGTTAAACATATAATAAAAATAAGTATCCAACCTGTCCAAATTTCATGCTTATGAGAAGAAAAATAAAAATAAAAACATTATCAGAATAATAAGATCCGAGTATACAGTAGTTAAAAAAATAAAACAATAAAAAAAATCCCCAATATTGTTACCAAATTCTGCCCAACTAGACACCCCCCGGAATGCCATTGCTTCACCCTGTGGAAACTGTCAGGACTGAAGTCATTAATGGCATCTGCGGCCTCTTCTATTTCATCATGTTCACGTCTGTGAGCCACTCGCATTTAGTGGCACCATATTTTTTTTAACCTTGCCCTTAGTGGCCTCTTTCTGGACTACAGATATTTCTGACTGTTGACTGGATGACCCTGGTTGAACCCAGGGCAGAGAGAAGCTCTCTTCATATTCCAGCTCTGCTTCCATGAGCGATTTTTATGTTTTCTGTCTTTACTCCCCTGTATGTTTGCACATATGCTTGGGAAAACAATAAAAGGACCGTCCCAGTTCCCAAATATCTGCAATGCAGATAGCTTAATCCCTGTAAAAATTCAAGGGGGCATCTGGAATTCTCTATTCCCTCCATACAGATGTACAGATCTAAGATCTCCCATTTCATTATAGGAACATCATCTGAAACAGGGCTGTATTATCCTTGCTTGCAAAAATATGTAAAGAAGGACAGAACATGTTTTGAATATCAGCTATACAGTAAAAACTCTATATTCCCTGTACTTGAACCAGTCTTGAACCAGTTAAGTCTAAAATTAAAACGTTTCATTCATTTTGACACTATAGCATCTGTGTTTAGTCACATTACTGAGCAGAATTCTTTCAGTGCAGGAGGCTAAAGGCACATTTTAGCAGCAAGAATACACACAGGCAGAAGTTTGCAGGGGCTATGCACATCCTGGAGGCTCTTTCCTCCTGGTACTGAACCAAGGCACAGTGGAGAAAGGAGCAGTCAAGAGAACAAGCAGTGAATATTAACAGTATAATCTCTTTGTATGTACTATCTCCATTTGCAGAAAACTGGCAATTTACTTCTTT